AAATGCTCCTCCACCCACAGAAGGAACTGAACAGTCTCTTGCAGGAGACTGGGAGAGCTGGTCCCCCCCCCCCCCCTCCCCCCCACTGAAAATAGTCTCGACCGTGATATTTACATGGCGTTATTTAAATATTAATAAGCCGCAACTCATTCTTCCAAAAACAATTTCCATGCGTCGCTAGAGTGTTCGAGTTTCACTGGAAGAAAAGGTGGCAACCCTATGGGTACAGCATGTGTGACTGACAGGTTACTCAAAATGTCTTAAACAGGAAGAGGTGGGGCAAATTTAAATTGGGGGGTGCCCGAGTTTAGTCTTGCCTAGGGCAACACAAAACCAAAATACACCGCTGGCTGCAGAGAGTGAGAAAATATTATGAAGTAGCACCACTTCCTGTAGCATTCTCCTGTGAGTCCAAGGAGGGGAGGGGGGAGGAGCCTTGCGCACAGAAAGTTGGTTGAATAGCATTGCATTTCATTCTACCCAGAAGAGAATCTGCACCACATCGCTGGATTGCTGAATGTGCGGGGGACAGCCCCAGAGGACGGGTGAGTATAGCACCTAGTGGAAGAAACATACATGTATTTTTTTTGCCTAACCTGGAATTGGGCTTTAAACACATTTTTTCAGCTTCCAACAGCTATTGTTTATAGGGCTGCAGGTAACGATTATTTTCATAATCAAATAGTTGCCCGATTATTTTTTCAATTACTCAATTGGTTGCATTTAAAAAAATCTCTCTCTCTCTCCCCCCCACAAACCAATCGATAATGAGAACCATTGCCAACGATTCTCATTATCGATTATAATTGATTTAATCGATTAGTTGTTGCAGCACTAATTGTTTATATACATGCAATATGGAGAGAGTAAAACATACCCTCCATAATACCTAGAGCCAGCATGGGACACTGTAGCTACACTGTATATCTACAGCAGGGGCGCCCACAATTTTTCGTCTGGAGATCTACTTTTCAAATGACGAGCTCAATGAGATCTACCAACGAAAAAAACACCTGCGTTCAGGGGCGGGAGGGGGCGTGGCAGTGCATTGAAGTCAATGGGTACGAATTAAACCGGCGGGCGAAACGCGTAAAGGGATTCCTCTACATTACACTGAATGATCGATTAGGCCGAGTGTCCTTTTATTACTCAAAGCTTTTAATTCTACAGAATTTCGTAAGTGTTTGCAGTTTTTGCGTTTAAATAAATAATTTACTGTTACACTTAGAAGTGTTCCCTTTCTTTCTCGTTCTCCCCTCTATCCGGTTTAATTCGTACACATTCACTATTCACAAAGTACACATTCACTATATTGTAATTCACTAACAAGCCATGTTGAGACACTTATAGTGGTATCAATTAATTTTTTAGGTATAAGCAATATACCGCTACCACGGTAATCCTCCACAGAATAATTTATATACACTATTTAATCAACAACATATGTTTATATACATTTATTTATAGATCACAAATTAGCACGATTTTAAGTACTATCTATTTATTTATCACATAGAATTATTTATCACCATTTTCACCGTATATAGTTTGACATTGTGTTTAGTGACAACTAAACCTACCCCAAACCAAAGAGATCCACCAACACCGAGCGCAACATACTAGTTCATTTTGCCTTGCGGTAGCGCCGGGCCTGAGGACAGGACAAAGGTCAGTGAGCCGATCGCGATCTACCAGTGTGCGCTTTGCGATCTACCTAATGGGCACCCCTGATCTACAGTGTCTCATGCCGCCTCTAGTTATTGGGGAGAGTATGTTTTAGCATATTCTCAAGGCATAGCAGTTTGATACAGAAGCTGGGGGGAGAATGGAGGAAGTTACACTGCCATTTGAGGATGTTGTGAGTGTGATCAGTAGCCATTCAGCCACCAGATCAGATTTAAAGAGCACTTCTTTTAGGCTGCAAGCTCACGGGTTGCTGAAGCATGCCATTGTATACCACCAGGAACTAATGCAAACAGGCGCCACACCTCTCAGAGAACAGGGTAAAGCACAGGAAGTGCACACGAGCTGGAGAGTGACGGACCTGGAGAGGAACAGAGCTGGCCCAGAACTGGGTTCACACCTGTGGATGTGATCAGAGGCATAGCCAGGTCATGAGGCACCCGGGGGCAAGTCTTTCATTAGCACCCCCCACAAACCAAACAATAGTTCAATTGTGATACACACATTCCATGCAGTCTGAAGGATGGAGGGCCACAGACTGATAAAGGGGGTTCCGGTAACCTGCAATCTCCACGGTTACCAGGGCCCCCCAAGTGGCAAAATGCTAGGGCCCCGTCACAGCTGCAACTTCTGTGACCCTGGTAGTTGTGTCACTGTATAGAGGACTACAAATCGCAGCAATACATTATACAGCAATGCAGAATACCATGATTAATAAACGGACCCGAAGGTGTCTAGATCAGTGGTCCTCAACCTGTGTAACCTCGGGACCCACATTTGTCCTTGGTCATTAAGTCGCGACCCTTACGAGCCTGCCGTGATTGCGCCGCGACCCGTGATGGCGCCGCGACCCACTGCAGAAGGGCTCGCGACCCACTTTCGGGTCGCGACCCATGAGTTGAGAACCACTGGTCTAGAGGTTCTACCTACATATATTTTGCCGCAGGGACATTAGTCCATATACTACGTAATGGGTCCCACAACTACGTACAGGAGCCTGCACAGCCACAGACCTGCAACCTCCCCCATCAGCCTGCACAGCCACAGACCTGCCCCCCCTCCCCCTGTCCTGCACACAGCCACAGACCCCCATCCCGCACAGCTATAGATCTCTCTCCCCCCTCCATTTCTTCACGGACCGACCGGCGCTTAGGGGGACCGGTTTCCTCCGCCCCCGTCTCCCCCTCTTCTGCACCTCCTCCTGGCAAGCCGCCCCACCAAATCTACGGGGACTGGACCCGCCTCCTCCTCCTCTGCACCTCCACCCCTCCTCACAAGCTGCCCGACGAAAACTATGGGACTGGCCCCGCCTCTTCCTCCTGCTCGTCGCCGCCTCCTCCTCGAGTCGTTGAGGCAGCCAAGGCTGCTGGATTTTGTGCAGCCCGGCATGCCTTGCTGTTGTGGGGGGGGCATTTCCCCCCTTTTGCACAGAACTTTCCCCCTTTTTTCGCTAATGCTAGTATAATCGTTTTTAATTTTTTTCTTAGTATAAAGGTTATTTATTGAAATACATATTGGGCGAGTGTGCGGGTACATATGCACATTGTTGGATGCCGGTGTGCAT